GTCGCTGAGATGGAGATATTAGAGTGGGACACAGAAGCCCATTGTTCTGCTGGATAGCTTTACCTCCATCCTGAGGCCAGAGCAGATTCTCCATGGACCTCTCCCTCCTTTTCTCTCCCTCCCTTTTTCACTTCAGACTGTTGATTTATTGAGTCATACATTAAAATGCTCATTACTCCTACAGACTTTCCAAATTCCCTATTTCTCCTAACACTCTGGTTACTGTCTTTCTCATGGAAGCACCACCTGAGAAAAGGGTTTCTGTTGGGAATCGGCATTTTTGGGGTCCCACTATCCCTGCAGTTATTGGAGCCAGACAATCAAAATATGAGCAAAGGTAAAGCAGTGTAGGTGGAGCTACAGTATGGTTGATTTTCCCATATCTATACAATTCAATTATTAGCTATTCCCTTTTGCATTTGACTTGAAACTAAATCAAAACCATTGGGCTTTGTGTGGGCTAGATGGATGCAGTAAAGGAATTCAGTCGGCAGCCATTGTCCAGGCCCCGGTGCCTCTGGGGTTCTGACCTTTATAAAAGGATAGGAGTCTATATACTCCCTCGGCCAGGTTACTTCAGAGATAAATTGCAACCATAAAAATATAGTAACTGAATTGACTTAACAGTAAGCGTTTAAACTATGATCATTCGAAAAGTTAAGGAATCACGGTTGCCCTTTGTTCCGACAAGACATAGAGGAACTCCAATCTGAGGTTTGAGCTCCAAAAGTATTACATTGTCCAAATAAACTTCATTGTCAGGAAAGACTCTGTAATCTTAACCAAACCAGCTGCATCCATTCTCCTATTCCTGCATGGAGCCTGCTTGGGGCCCCTGCAGTTCTGACTATGTTCCACTGCTTGTTTTCGGGCCCCACTTTTGTATTCCGACATTGTATGGGACATCTTATCCTTCTTCCCTTCTCTTCTCATTTGTCTACCCTCTCCAGCCAGCCCCTCCAAATCCGTATCCATCCATCCATCTAGCCCTGAATCCACTTATATAAGGAGATAGGGTGTAAATATTTTGGTGTGGAGTGTCAGCGCGTATCTCCCCCCGCCAGAGGGGCCGGCAGCCTCAGTCCAATCAGCCATGTTTGTTTGTTCAGCTTAAACTGTGTGTGCCTTGTTTTCCGTGGCTTGTGACTCCCTCCAGCTAGAATAAAGTGTCACACTTTTTTTCCCCCCCCCCTCCTTCGCCGTCTGTGTTTCCTGGAAGCGAAGATAGATAAGCCCCAAAGTGTGTATTTGTGTGCTTATTCACGCACCAAGAGCAAGAGTGTGTATGTGTGTGAGTTGTCAAAGCTGTCAGCATGACTGTTGTTCTGGCCAACAGCCTAGTGTCGAACAGCAGCCGTGCAACAAACACAAAACATCTGTTCTGCACACCACAGTAAAAATATCATGATGCGACCCATTTTTTATTGATCAACCAACAATACGCCGTGTTTACAGCCACTTCACGGAACATGTCAACATCTGCGAATACTTACCTGTTGAGGGAAGCTTATTTCACACCAGTGTCATCATTCCAGTATCTACTTTTCCAACTAATTAAAACAACTCCCCACGTGAACTAAGTCAGGAAGTTACCAAACACAATGTCACAGCCCCTCACATATATCCAATTCCAATGTCATGGCTGCAAATCTCCAGGTGGATTTTGAAAGAGTGACATTCTCAGTGGACAGCTTATTTCTTGCACGCACCCCTCCTTCCAACCACACAAAATAAGCAATCTGGAGATTTGTAATGGTTTTTTGCCGGGCCTGCTAATGTATTTCATGCTTGTTTAAGATCTTTGCATGCTCCTTACAAAGGTGCATTGTGATAGGTGTTCCTTATTACCCTGCTCTGTATAGAGTCTAAACACTGGTGGCTGGGAGAGTGGAGGATAGTGGGAGGGAGGCATGAATGGCTGATATGTTTTTTTTTTTTCCTCTGTCAGTCTCTTCTCACTCTCTCCCTCTCCGGTGATCTCTGCATGCCTATTAACGTAGCAGAGGAATGCCTGTGTAAACATTCTTGTTTCTCAGTCCGTTTCGCATAATAGTTGCCTGTATCGCCTTTCTCCTGACCCCACTATCTGAAACCAATTACACCAGATCCATTTGGGCTGAATCTTATTTTCATAAGGATCTCCGTGTCGCGGTCTCGGTCGCTCTGCGTGTTATTTTCCCTCCTCTTATTTTTTTTTTCCAACCTCAGTGATGGATATCAACATCAAATATGCCTCTGAGTGCCTTGTTATTTATATAGCAGGGCCTGGCTCTTTCTCTCTCCCTCTGTGTCTGGCTCATTCTGAAGAATGTGTCACATTGTGCTGTTTATACAATGTGTGCATTAATGGACTGGGGATGTCATTTTTCCGTGCATAGCAACGCAGGTTAAATAGACGGTGCGCCTCCACTCGTCTGTGTTTTTGTCCGCTCCGGCGGCTCTCCAGCAAACTTTTGATGACTTTCCTTGGCGTTTTGCACTTTTTTGTGCTTTGAGATGAGCTCCAGCTTGCCATCTCTGTGGAGTGGGAAGTGGGTGGCACAAATTGGTGCTTTTTACTGTAATGGCTGAATACACCGAGCCAGTGTGAGTGAGCGGACAGGGCTTCTTTTTTTTTTTTTACCTTTTACCGGAGCAACTCTAGCTAACCCCACTTCTTCAGATAAAGCACTCTGGAAAAGTTTGGCTGGTGTTGATAAGGTCTGTGTTATGTTTGGAGAATACTTTTTATGCAGCCCGAACAGACTTCCTTTCTAATAAGCCAGGTGACGTTGATCTTCCTGCTTCACCCCGTCCATTTGCCTGCCATGGAATATTGGAAATAGCGTTAAAAAACGTCTTTCTTCTTAACCGTGTGTAACATATGGATTGGCTCTCTTGACTTTAAGTCATTATTGATTCACACATGGATAAACATTTCCTCCTCACATCTACTTTGGCTTGCATTCATCAAGCAGCCTTCCCTCTAACTACTGTGTGCAAGACTCAATAAACCTTATAATTACTTTGATTCACCAATCACGGGCAAATTAATTAGGCCCCGTGTTCTAATTAGCGACGTGATTGGCTGCATTCAAGGAATTTGTTTTGTCTCTTGCCGTCAGTAAAAGGAAGTCAACAACGTTTGATTTCCAATCCGTTTGAAAAATAAAAGAACAAACATCACATGGCTGTGTTTGTCTGCAGGTGTTGATGTGTACTTTCAGTGTGTGCCCACTTTTGGCACGTGTGTGTTTTCCAAAGAAAGGCCATGGCTCAGCTTACAGATGACACACACACACACACACACACACACACACACACACACACACACACACACACACACACACACACACACACACACACACACACACACACACACACACACACACACACACACACACACACACACACACACACACACACACACACACACACACACACACACAGACACATATAAGCCGATGGCGACTAGCCTCCTCTTACCAAGGAGACGGATCAATGCAGTTAGGACCGAGTGCCAGTGTAATGTGTTTGTTTACTTCACTTCAGAAAGCCTGTCTCCTCCTGAGCACCCAGACAGACAGCCCATCCTCCACATCAGCCCCCCCACCTCCCAAGCTCTGTCTTTTCATAATTGATCAGGAGGTGGCTGCGTTCCCCGAGGGGTTAAGACATGGCAACTTTTTTTTTTTCTCCTTCTCATTTTTTTTTCTTTCTTACTCCCATCTTCTCCTCTTGTTTGCACTGGATCTCAATGTACTAGTTCAAACATTGTTCCCACCAGCTGGCAGAGCAGCACCATATGCACGCCCTGTCAAGGCAGCTGTTGTCATGGATACTGGCAAGCACCATAGAAAATAAAATGAGCACCCCTGATTCCCGAGGAAGTGTCACTCTCCCAATCCCAGTTTTTTATTTATTATTCTTTCTCCACCTCCTACTCGTCCTCTTCTTTTTTCATAAAAAAGAAACACCTGTGAAGTTGTTGTGTTGTGTGTGTGTTTTTTCCCGCTCCTCCTCCCCACCCACTTGATGCTCATGGGCCCTAAGAATACGAGGTAGTGTGGAGCAGCGGTAGCAGCAGCTGTGCACAATGTTCTTTCCTGCCAGACTCTTTCATCCATCTGCTCTTGAAGAATCGGAGTGAAGCTGCTAGCCCAGCTGCCACCGTACCTGTGAAGCTGGAACCGCTCGTCACACACATTCAGTACACACAGCCAGGCAAAGGGGGGCATCAGTAATCCCATCAAACCCTAGAGAAATAAATTACACCACATCCAAACCTCTCTGATCCCTATCATCTCCCGTGTCTGGCAAACTCATCAAACGTCATCAATGGCAAATTTCACAAATGTTTTTCACCCCGTGTAAAAAGCTTTGGGGGTAATTTCACCACACATGGAAAAGGTCTCTCTTCCTCAAAGTACCTGTGCATCTTCCTATCCATCTAGCACCCACCCTCTGCTCATGAGCATACTCAATGCACAGCGTGAAACCTGCGCTGCTAGTTAATTCACTCTAAATGTAATCTGATGTTGATTTTGTCAACTTTAATTACAGCTCCCAGGGACACTTCACATGGCGCTGCCTCTACTTCAAATTGATATTATGAATATGCAAATGCGGTGGTAATTTGCCGAGAGAAGTGGGTATTTCAGTTGAGCACACACTAGACAGGTCAATTCTACCGAAGCTCTGTCTTCCCCCCCCCTGCCCCTCCACCCTCTTCTTCATCTAGACAAACTATATTTATCTTGATCACAGCTCTGTGAATTGTTACTAAAGCGTACCTCCAAGGTGGTGTTAACCAAGTCAGAATGTGTGGCGGAAAGTAGCAGGTGATATTTGACGGCGTTTTCACTCACAGATGACTGTTTTGTCCCTGAACATGTGAATTATCTCCGCTGTCAGTTTCAGGAAATCTAATAGTTTATTTCCAGTGTTTCCGCCCTCCTCCCCATCTTTCTTTTTCTACATTTTTTCACACTGTCTTTTGTCTTGTGTTCCTTTCTTCCCAGGCCCTACAAGCAGCGAGGCAATTACTCTTGCAGCAGCCAGGCAGTGGCCTGAAATCTCCAAAGAGCCAGGACAAGCAGCGTCCACTGCAGGTAAAGCAGCTCCCCGTCTAATCTCTTAAGTCCATCCATAATACATGTTCCTCCGAAAAGAAGATTTCCTCTGTTCCACAAGTGTGTTTGATTTGCTAACGCAATCCTCCACACCTGCCTTTGGAATCTTAAAACTGGACAAGGCCGTCCCCAGGAAGCTAAAACACAAGAAAAAAAGAACAGGGAGGAAAGTTTTATCCGTCTGTGTTGAAATAAACATCGTCAAACAGGAGGATAATTATGTATAGTATATCCACAGGTCGAATGGTAGCATGAGAAATGATTTGATTTATTTTTCTACACTAGATCCATACCATTGTTGACACTTCCAGAGCGTAGTTATTATTTCAAAGACATGTCAGCCAGATACAGATGGCTAATTTTAACCGCCTGTCATTCCCACTTTTCACAACTAATTTGCCTTATTGATTCGTAGAGCTGTCTATTTCTGTTGTCAGTGATTTGGAAAAGGTCACACATATGCACATTAACACATCCACTTTCTTCCTGGTGTGAAGATTTCTCTCACATTCTGCTCGTTTTTAGACAGTGAGTTTCGCTTCAAATTACGTAAGGCCCCTTGACATCTGCTCCGGTGTTTTTATTATTATTATTTTTTGATTCAATGTATTTTTAGCCGTTTGAAATTGAAGTGTGGGACTCGGTGCCCTGCACTCAGCTAATAAGTACTATCAAGGAGCAACGCTCATTAGGGGCTCTCTGTGCATTTCATTAATGTCAGGGAAATTGGCGTTAACCTCACCCGTTGATATTTTCACAGAGTCTAACAATGGCGACACCTCCAATTGGAGTCACACCCCTGTGTACCTAATTACGCACAGGCGGAGAGATAAGGCTGGCGAAGACTCCGTCATGCTTCTGCATTTAAATAATTCACCTCATCAAGAGTGTCAATATTATCCGTATATTCACACATATTGGCATCAGATACATATTTCTCAAAAGGTGTTTATTTATTTGAGTCTAATTAAACAAAAGGGTCTATTCCTTCTTCTATTTGAGGTTCTGTGAATAGATTCAAACACATCCTGATCTACAAATGCCTGCATAGTCACCACATGGCAGTTGGAACAATATTGAATGAGAGCAGTGTGGGTGCATGATAACCGTCAGGCCATATCCAAGCCCCTTCCTCTAATAACACCAGCCCATGGTAAATATTGAATATTTACATTTGCTTACTCCATCCTTGCCTCGCGATATGAATCAATGTGAATCAGAGGGGCCTGTCGATCGACCCCGACCCCGGCTCCCAACTAATCCATGTGTTGATCCAGCTTTTATTAACATCCTCACCTCTTTGTTCCAAAAAGTCTCCTTATGGAGCGTCACAGGAGAGGCCCCGCTCACTCTCCCAGTGATACACACCAGCACAAACACTGCTTTCTGGTTCAAGATCGTTTTTACACCGCTGTGTGGCCTAGAATCCACTCATTTCAAATGACATTTTAGCTGTAATACTCCATTGTGTAAATACCGGTATGTAGCAGCAGAAACTCAGACTTGATTAAAAATCCATTCATATTGTTTCTCCCCTCTTGTCAGTGCCAGATGTTCTTCTCTTGTCTTGAGGGAGTATACACAATAAAGCTGCATTATTTACCTGGATTACGAGGCCACAATGGGTGCTATAGTGCAATATGTTATTAGCTGCATGGCTTGATAAGAGTCAATGGCAATCAAGGCGCATGTTTTCCACCGGAGGAATCAGACACATTGATCCCCTTGTATGATTAGCGCAGCAGAAAGTGGGGAAAGGATTAATATTACCATGACATCCCGCTTATGGTAGAGATACTGATAATTCCTCTGCCAGTCTTTTTCCCCCTTGTTCTCCCATCTTTGGTATTTAAGAGCGGGGAAATGATCCATAGATCATGGCATGTAAATTATTTAGTACACAAGCATCTAAGTGCCTCAGCTTGCAGTTTTAATTACGCGTATTAGCGGCTAAAGGCTCTCGCCTGACTAATTCTATCCGCTCGCTCAACGCTGCTCCTCAGGAGTTGATGATGCGGAGGCAGGCAGCTCTGGCATCCACACACACACGCATGTAAAGAAAAGAAACAGCCTCACAAACACACATACAAACACACACACAAGCTGCTTCTCCACATTTGCGTAATGTGACAGGTCTATTATTACACAGTAAGCCCACGGGAGCACTCAATAAACACCTATTTCTCCCTGTAAATCCCCCTGCCTCCGCCATGCTGCTTACACGGCTCTCCCAAGGCACACAACACCCTCTCGTCTCCGTCTCCTCTCTGCCCTCCTCTCCGTGGCAATATCCCCCCCTCCCCCCCCCTCTGAAAGGCATTTATACACTGACATTTGGAATACAAATAAAGAAACGCGGACAAGGAGAGGCGGAGAGGATTACAGTGGCCTATGAATCTGACAGTTGTTCGCTCGCACACACGCGAACATCTACACACACAAATGACAGTTACTTAAAGTTTTTACATTGTGACTTTGAGCAACTGTTGTTGTAACTGGCTGTATTGATGGGTATGATTAGAAACAGGGCAGAGCTGGAGTTAAAGCAGCTTAAACCCTTTGTGCAAAATGTTTGGAGTAATGGCTTATCCCGCAAAATAACAATGCCAGATATTAAGGCGACCCAGCCACCATCCTACTCACACACCACCCCGAGTCTCCCTTTGTGACTCAACCACCACCTCTATATGTCTCATGCAATGTTGGATAGTTACTAAGAACTGTGCTAAACATTTTGAAGTACTTAAGTTGCGTACTTTTAACTCAATGTATGAATTATAATGTATATTTACAGTATGTATATAGATACCCGGCAGCCTGCATTTTACAGCCCCAACATTAAATGCATTTACACAATTATGCATCACTCATTATAATCCAGTCACATAATATAAACTATGCATACAAATAGCCATTCTACCTAATGAGTACTTGTGGTTTTTATTGCAACAGACTATTCTACACTGTGGTATTACTACGTTTACTTAAGTAAAGGATAGGAGTACTTCTTCCACCTCTATGTGCCACAGGGCACTTATAACACAGCCAACTAACTGACCCTCTAACTCTGCTTTGTGAGTGTGTCAGAGGGGGGGGGGGCTCCACAGTGTGACCCCTTCCTCCAAACATCCAATTCCTAACCATGCACCCCCCACAGAGAGAGTGTTGCTGCTCTGCCCCTTTCACACTCTCAAGCTGTGAATACCTTTTTAACAGGGCTAATAACCTCAGTCCCATCTGTGCAACGCTCCAACTCTTAACTACAAATATTTAAAGCTTTTTATGGATGGGGAGATGTTGGTTTAGCCCGGCCTTCTGTAAATGCTACGGCTTCCTGCCCAGGCCAGTCAAGATTGGCTGTGGGCACTGGGCCATCCGAGGAAGTGTCACACTTTTTAAAGGTCAGGTCTACCACTGAGCCAATATCACCTCGATGGCAGAACTCATCTGCTTATTGGCTTTCATCCGGAACACACACACACACAGATGCAGGGAAAAGGGCTGCGACGCTAGGCTTGAGTATAGGTTAGCTGACTACAGCGTGCGTGGCTAAAGCATTCACATTTACATTTATGAATATATCTTGCCACTGTATACCCTCTGGTTGGATCTGAAAATAGAGAGAAATTATCACTGCGAGAGGGGGGAAAATAATATGTTATTCATGAGAAAAACTTCTGTTGACTCTGAAAAAAAAAAAACCGTCAGCACATTTTAAGTCAAACAGCCTCTGTTACTGCTTTTGTAACCAGAAAACAAGATCGTTCCCCCCCTCCCCATCTCCTTCCCTACTGCTCTTCTTTTTTTTTTTTCTCCTGCATTTACAACACCTACAGGACAAGATTGCTAAATTGCGAGGACAGAGCAGGTTCATCATTGTGATGCAAAAGAAGTTGAAATGCAACCCCCAAGGCGAGGTAGCTGAGTTTGGGGGATCAAGAGAAAGTGAGAGGGAGGGAAGGATAAAAAAAAAAAAAAAGAAAGTAGCTCAGACCTTTGATGTCGCAGCAACAAATTTACCTTGTGACAGAAGATACATGGGTGCAATAAACGAGTTATACCAGCCCTTACACATGCAATCAGATGATTCTGGCCAGGGTGTTAATTGGATCCTAACCGGCAGATCTGATACGCCTGGGCCCCGGTGGTGAGGGGGAAAGCCTTTCCAAGTGATGAACTATAATTCACTGAGCTGCTTGAAGCACTTGTAATTTACTGTGTGTCACTGATGAAGAGGCTGATCCAGTGGAGGCCATATTACCTGCAACATCAGAGAGAAGTGTGTGTCCCCCCCCCTCTTCCCCCACGTTCTCCCTCTCACTTCTACTTTCTTTCTATTTCTTCCTCTCTCTGCACTTTTTTTTTTTTTTAAAAACCCCCCCCCCCCCCCCCCCCCCACTATCCATCAGCGATTTGCTCTTGAAAAATGCGCACCTGCAGGGAAGTATCAGTCGGGAGTGAATTGTGCCGCTTTAATGATAAAGGTGCCACAACTTGTACTGATAATGACACAAACAATGTGCACGAGCAATGTCACACACAGCCACACTACATCGGAGAGGCTTAATCAATGTCTATCTGCATGTAGAGATAAATCAATGTGGAAATTGTGCTAAGCCCGTCCCCATCTCCTCAGGCTTTTTTATTCCAGGCTTTTGCATGATGGGCCTTTTATGTTATGATAAATTGCACTTCCCTTTGCCAAACGGCTATGGAAATTGATTTAGGGAAAGCATTCAGTAATCTACTTAGCTTCAGTCCTGGCAATCTGGAGTATTGATCTCCCCTAAGCTGGAAAACATGACGTGTGTGTGGCTCCTATGTGGTAAGATCCATGTTCTTCTAACAGACCACACACTTTGGGTTAGGGTTAGCGTTAGCGCCGACTGCCCTGTAGCCTCGGTGGTCTTTCAAGTGGAGCGTCCCAGCTATCGATAATCATATGGCCAGATTGGGCAGTAATTGGCTAGTAAATGAGAAGTGCAAGCTGAAAGGAACTCTACAGGTCAGAAGTGCATAAGCTATGAGGGGGGCCTGAGTGTCGGCCCACTGGGACGCTCATGGGAGATGAAAAAGGGACGTGGGTAGTCGGTGGAAGCCCCTTTTCTCCTCTCGACGTCTCAGTGTGAAAAGAAGCTTGTGGCTTAATTAGCAGCAGCTCCCTGCCAAGGATCCACAGTAATTACCCACTAGGACCCTTCCATTTCTCATCGCAGTTATCTTAAGCAGTGTCTGTAGCTCAGTCCCCTGTCCGGCGCTACAGGAACATCCTGTCGTTGATAACCGCCCCGTGCTCCTGCAATGTTTATGACCGACATCTAATCGCTCCTGCTTATTACTGCTAAGTGAATTGTATAGAAGGAAATCGAATAAAAAGGAATTCCTCTCCGCTGGACTTTAATTGTTTAAGTTTGAACTCCACTTATCTCCCGCTTTAGGTGATTTGAGTTGACTCATTGCCGTGACGATAAAGCGCCACACAGTGGAGTGGGTGTAATTGCTGGAAGGGCTTTTGTCCACTGGTCCAGATAGTTGGAGGCAGGGAGCTGTGAGCAGTGGAGGTGTTTTGCATTTAATGGCAGATCGGCCGGTTAAATCAAACATAACGAGCAACTTTAGGTGCCGGCTCTGCCTGGAAGACATACCTGAGCTCTCCGTGGAAGAGCGTGACCTTTTGTGAGGCATTGGACAGGCTGGATACAGGCGGGAGCGGTGTAATGATCTGCTTGTTCTGCTGAGGGCCCCACCAGTGTTTTCACATCAGGAGCCAATTTAAAAGGTCCTTTGTTTTGCTCTCCAACTTTGAGGGCAACCACATGGCTTCAAAGTTCATGTCAATACCGCTCATCGTTCTCTTCAAGTCATGGCAGATAAACAAATAGCGGTTTGAATGTGAACACGGTGAAAAACAAGCATTTTTAGAGAGCAGGGGTAACATTTCAATGATTTGCATCTCCCACTCAAATGGGCTCTTTTAAGAAACGGGAGAAGCACCTTTTTCTGTCATTAAGGTCCCGAGAGGCCCCATCAGCTGCAGCTAATTCCAAACCATTTAATAAATCCCGTTAATATTTTTTGTGCACTAGTGTTGGAAATACATCCTTTTGGATTACAGAGGCACGGCCCAATTGGATATCATGGCTGCAGAGAGGGTCTATTCGCAGCGCGCGGATGTTTACGCCACTGCCATCGTCGAGTAAATGCTCATTAATTCCATCCCTTCGTGGCAAAATCATTTCTAGGAGAGGCAATTCAGCCTCCTGTTCCTTTCAATTCACCGCTCACGTCAATCAAGCCCTCGTGCAGTATCCTGCAAAATGGAGGTGTTATATTCCTGCAATTATCATGTCATATACTCGAAAATGTAAATGAACGCGTGTGTAAAATTAAATGTATGGGTTGTCAGTGAAGAATAAGAAGCAGAAGAGCAATTACTTATCTGCTTTCATCTCAGAGCCTCTGATACGTCAAGCAGAAAAGCATGCAGTTAAATGCTGGAATTAGCATTGTGCTGCACTTCACAATGGACGTGGGCCAGCGCCTTTTCTCCCCTTCCTTTCTTTCTTCTTCCTGCCTTTCCTGCCTCTTCCTTCCCCTCGTTTTGTTTGGAGCTCTGGTGAATTGAAGAAGATTATCGGCCATTATGAAATTGAAAGTGTAAAAAGGAACTTCCCCATTTCATAACCTAGTTGTTTGCTGTTTCTCCAGCTGTTCGTTGTTTGGTTTTACTCATTCTTGCTGAGATCCTGCATTATTCATTTACAGGACTTTGAATGCTTGTGTTTCACCACTCGCACAATGAAGACACATCTTAAAGTGGAGTTTATATTTAATTCCACTTTATATATGCATGCGCATACATTTGTGTTTAATCCTGCTCGTCTGCGCCCGCATCCCTTTTGTGAACCAAAACATCTTTGTGCTAGCATCCAATTAATAGTCTTAATGAGTGCATCACTCATGTTGTTCCTCAGCTGCACTCGTCCCATTGTCACAGCATCCAACACAAAACCAGGAGTGACTGCGGGGTAATTACTTACCTAGCAAATGTACCTTTAAGGGTTAATAACATTGAAGGTGTAAGCAGTGCATTTGCATAATTACACACGGACTGGTTAATTTGCAACTTTTTGACGGCTTTTGTTCAGCGCCTCGCTTATTGTGAATGCATTTTCCTTTGGCACTCTTGCATGGAGGAAGAAAAGAGATGTACCACAACATCCTCCTCCTCCTCCTCCTCCACCTTAGATGGAGTCCCTTCTCTCTAAGACCCTAATGAACAATGGAGGCAGGATTTGTTTGAATATGAATATGAATGTGCAGCGGGGCCGGCTGGAAGTTGACCTTCAGCTGTGATTTTCAGTTCATCAGGATTAGTCAAGGCGGGCGATCAGGAGCCACTAATGCATAATGACTTCTAAAATGAAAAATGTGTAGTGACCATGCAAATGTCTCGGCTAATCAAAGAGGGGGGGAGAACCTGGGGTGGGGGGTGGGCGTCGAGGAGAGGAGAGCTAAACAAGGACGTGTCAAGGCCTGACAGAGAGAGAAAGGGGGAGAGGAAGGGAGGGGAGACATGCATGGAAAGTAATCAAGGCGGCTTGATTAGCTGGCGATGAGGACAGGGATGTCTTATTGGCCCCTTGACACACCATATAGGCTAGCTACTGTCATGGCGCCTCCACACTGTCGCAATTAGCGTCAGTGAAAGTGTTGCTACATGTTGATGTTTTAATTGTGTTATAAAGCTTGTCATTCAAGAATCTTTCATGACAAGACGCAGCATACCAACCTAAAAAAATCATACCATTAGTCAATTGTTGTGCTATAAAGAGTTCATTACATTTTAAAGGTCATGCAGGGAAGGACGACGGGATTTGAGTCGCTTTAATCAGAATGGAGGTATTATTTGGTCAAGGAGAATCAACTGGTGAAGAATCATTCAGTCTCGTTGATTTTATTTTCCACTGACAATTCAATAAAATGACAGTGACAGCGTTTTGATGGTGTCCATTCTTTAAGTAACCATAAGGAGCTTAAACCCCAATATAACTGTTAGCACACACTCCTCCGTAAGGATGTGTGAACACAATCATAGATGGAAAAGAAACGTACCCTTTGTTGATAGATCTGTTGCCTAAGAGGTCGTTTGCACTGCCGCCTCAGAAGCACTTGGTAAAAATACACAATATGTGTCTTTGTTTGGTTTGGTGAAGTTCTTCTAGCTTAGTTCGACAACCCATAGTTGAATGATTCTCTCCCAAAAATGATATTGATTTTTCAAAAACAGCATGTTTGCAGAAAAAAAAACGATTTACCGCAGGAGGTGTGTTGTCAATACTCTTCTATGTAAGCAGAATATAAAAATACGATATTGTTCGGGGGTCACCCCTAACACACACCCCCCCCCCCTCATCTTGCTGCTGTGTCCACTTCATCAGTATAGTTCCAATCAACTGTACAGCAGTGCATTTTTCACGCTGTTTCACATTAGCAGCACTGATAGGCATGCTAAAGCGGGGGAGTTCAAGGGTCCTGCTAATTAAGGTCTATTTTAAATCTCCTACTTTTCCCTGTGGGGGTGGAGGCAGAGCGAAAACAAAGGCACGGCACCCATGTGTCCTTCAGCCTCTTTACCTACCTCCCCATCACCAATTACAACCTCCCAGAAGATCCATGCACGTCCCTAACGCTCTGTTTCTCCATCTTTCTCCCCTCTATCCATCTCACCTCTCTTTTCCACCCATTTTCTCTCTTCTCCAACGTCCAGGTTCCAGTGTCAGTGGCCATGATGAGTCCCCAGGTGATCACGCCGCAACAGATGCAGCAGATCCTCCAGCAGCAGGTGCTCTCCCCCCAGCAGCTCCAGGCCCTGCTCCAACAGCAGCAGGCCGTCATGCTGCAGCAGGTACACACACTCTTTCACCTCCATGCACACACACACACACACACACACACACACACACACACACACACACACACACACACACCCGTAGATAAATATTTAGGGACAAACACTCTTGTCGCATGCAGACACACGCACACCAGCCGTGTCCCATCGGAGGCAGGCTGTAGATGCACACAAACAGACACCTAGAAGCATATATTCTCTTACTCTGACCTTAAAGACAGCAGTACAACTATGCACATGCACAAAATGTGGTCACCCTTAAAGTATATGATGTATACTATATGTGTATTGTGGGGGAAATAGACATTCATAGACCAGCATCTTGACTTCATATCATTTGTGCATGAATAGAAGTCATTCTTTTATATTTTTTAACATTATTAAATATGCTAAGTTCAATCTGTGTTTCAAGCTATCGCACGTTGGCTCCTTGGATTGTAGGTAAATGGGCCTGGGAAGTCCTTGAGAAGTCAACATGTTGATACCCTGCATATAGTACTTTCCTACCTACACTGCTGAGTCACCCACCTGCTCTGAAATCCTCACAGCCACAGCTCACCGCAGCCCTGTGTCCTTGACACGCTTACCAAGAGGAATTTGACGTACTTGTTCTTGTCACCTCTAATTAACCATCTCCAGTGTGTCGCCGGTTCAATTCCCTGACAAGCATTCATCAGGGGCCGGTGTGTGGAGTAGGGCACGGCTGAATGATAGGTGATGGATGATGTAATATTTTGAAGCACAGTCTGGTGTCAGAGTTGAAATGCAGCTGTCATTCGTAGATTTGATTAAGGCAGAGAGGATAGTTTAATTAAGAACGTCAGTCATTCTGCTTATTGCTCTTCATTAGGAGCGCTCGGGAACTAGAGTTGGTTTCTGTGCAACGCCTTTTCCACAGCAAATTGTGTTTCATACAGAACATAAAGCAGCTATTATACCAACTCAACAACAATCACAGGGTCAAAACCTCTCGTCAGTCAGCTAAGGCAAGTTATATTGTTGATTTACAGCAAGTGTTACAGTACAAGACATGCTGATATTTATATGGCTGTTAGCAGAAAACTGCGCAACTGGTCCGCTTTATGGACTTCTCTTACCGGCCAATAACAAGAAAGAAAACAGAAATCACTGTGTGTGTGTGTGTGTGTGTGTGTGTGTGTGTGTGTGTGTGTGTGTGTGTGTGTGTGTGTGTGTGTGTGTGTGTGTGTGTGTGTGTGTGTGTGTGTGTGTGTGGAATCAGTTCAGACCTGTTCCTTAGAGGCTTTATTCCGTTTATTCCAGCCACTCCAAAGGACGCCAGTGCACTCTTGGCAGCCGAATGCATAGTTAATATGATGAATTGTTGCCCCCAACAGCACTGTGGGACCATTAAAAGTCCATATGGAGAGCACAGCGCAACACAGCGAGGATACAAATGCCAAAAGCACTTGAACATGTTGTTTATAATTTGCAACAGTTGCTTAAGAGACAATATCTCAATTATTGTAGGCTTTGACTTGTTTTGCAAATAAGTTATTTATACATCCTCTAAATGCCAAGTCTGACTGATATCATCATAAAGGGAACAAATAAATATCATGAACTATAAATACGTTTCATATATATTAGAAAATAAGACTGTGTTTACTCAATCTGCCTCTTCTTTCTCTCCCTGTGTACAGCAACACCTGCAGGAGTTTTATAAGAAACAGCAGGAGCAGCTTCACCTGCAGCTCCTCCAGCAGCAGCACCCCGGCAAGCAGGCTAAAGAGGTGGGTGCAAAAACTCTCACACTCACCGACACCCATGATTCTTCTACACGGTAAATGTCCGTAGATATTAGAAACATGGAAACATGTGATCATAAATACTTGTTTAAAGCATATTCTCTTAATTCATTCTCGACACAAAGCCCACATTTTCCTTTCTATTCTAATCACTTCAGATGACTTCAGATGTCCAACTTGTTAACGAGCTTGTTCCTGTGGGCGTACAAACACCACACAGTGCTCATAAATCACCGTGACAGCCAGCCGGTAGACAGACGTGTCTCGGTCTTGTCCTTTTTGGCCGTCAGAGAAGAAGAGATGAGCATGACAGCTTTAGCAACATTTGTGTAGCCGTAGAAGTGTCAGGGCCACATCACCGTACGCGTGGAAGCAGTCAAATTGGTCAGAGAACAGGCATCACATACTCTCCCTCTCTTGGATGTGTTGCGCAGCCCATTATGCCGACCCTACAGGAAGCCGCCGCTGACCTCCCGGCGGCTTTGTTTCTGTTTGGATTTCTGAATAGAGTTTTTCAGGGGGGCCCCCGCCATCAAATATGGAATAGAAATTGCTTCCTTATTTCTCTTGAGGCAGGTTGGGCGGACAAACTGCCTTCTTCCATCACTCCATTATGCAGCCTGTTTTTCCAGTGAGCGCATCACAAGTTTCCCCCTCCACCTCCACGCTCCTGCAGGTCCACCTCCATACCAACATGACAGGCTGCGTGCACATACACATGTAGATAAATAACATGTTGTGACATCACACACTAAAAAGACTATATCATCCCTCAAATGTAATAAATGCAATTATAACCTGAGTTTACCCCATTCAGATGTTTTGTCTCTTCCTAAAATCCACTCCCTCTGACTTGTTTTGCCACGGTCACTGAGTTCGATGTTTTTCATTCTGTTGTTGTTTTTATTGTTGTTTTGCACAGGGCTTACGCAATTGCCTGCCTGGCCCAGCGATAAACAACTCTGTGAGGCAGCGAGGGGAGCAGAGAGAGGGTGGAGCGGGGGCAGGCGTTGTGCATGTGGGTGCAAATATATTTGTGTGTGTGTGTGTGTGTGTGTGTGTGTGTGTGTGTGTGTGTGTGTGTGTGTGTGTGTGTGTGTGTGTGTGTGTGTGTGTGTGTGTGTGTGTGTGTGTGTGTGTGTGTGTGTGTGTGTGTGTGTGTGTGTGTGTGTGTGTGTGTGTGTGTGTGTGTGTGTGTGTGTGTGTGATCAGTCACTGATGCAAAACACCTGTTGTTGTTGTTATGAAGGTGCAGCTTTCTCATCCACCTTTTTACCCAAAGTTACTCCATCAAGAGAACAGCAGATAACATTTGATTTTCATCGTCGTGACGTTGTGAGTACGGAGTTTCGTTACTTTTGCATTAGTTAACTTAATCAGAATATTGTCAGACTTTAATCCTGCTCACATGTTTGTATCCCAGAGACAGGGACACCATGATTTATTATGATTCTTTTTGTACTACTGTGAGGAAGGCTGTGTCTCATATAAACAGGTTAATAAATAAAAGCATAATCAAAAGCCTCTGGAAGAACTCCCATCTTGGCAAACACATGAGGAAACGGCACCACATGTGCGACTGCAGGGAAGGTTTATGTGACATTTTAATATCCTGAAGATAAAAAGCTGACTGTGGTATGAAGTATGAAAGCTCAGCAGATTCAGTTGTTGTTGTTTTTCAAATCTAAGACAGCAATTAGTTACAGATGCTACAGATACATTTAGTAAATAATGTAAATGAAATATGGGTATATAGAGAAACGCCCAGAATTAAATGTAAATAAAGCTGTAGAATAAATGTGAGTAAAAATACACTTTTTCTTCTTTTAATTTAAAAAAAACAAAAACATGTGGGATTCACTTTTTCTCGTGTCAATCTGAAGATCAGGTATATTTGTGATTTTTTTTTTTAAACGGCAACACCTTCTACCTGCTCTAGTGAGGTCGGAATGCAACATTTAAATATACATTTGAAAGAAAATACATCCAACAGAGACAGTCATTTTAAAGATTCCTGCTTTTTTTTTTGCTTCATCTGATAATTACTCCGTTTCCTGTTGTTGAGCCAGGTGAGCTGTAGAACAGGTGAGCTGTCTTCATAGTTAGCCTCAAAGCTAAATCCTGCAAATCTGAAAAAGTCACCGATTTAACCTCTTTCAATATGTTTCTCATCTAATGTTGAAACAAGATATAGATACGCAACTGTTTAAGTCAAAGGATAATTATGGTTGTTCACAATGACAACATGTTAAAGTTTGACAGATATAATGTTTGCCATGTTTATTATCTTAGTTGTGAGTTAGCATGCTAATATTAGCTAATTAGCATCCAATACACTGTACAGCTTAGGAGTGTTTGAGTGTCGCTTTTGGTCATTTTGGTTATATTTTCTCGACATGATGATGGCGCTTGAATCAAGGGATGATTATTATCAGAAGAGGGACTTGCTCCACATTTTCATGACCATTCGTTTGAAAGTTGTTAAGATGCTTCAGTCTGGACTTATCTTGATCCAGCTCTTCTTCATCATCAGTGTTGGGACTAACGCTTTACAAAGTAACGCGTTAGTACTTTTTGCGGTAACTAATAGCGTTACTAGTTACCTATTCCCATTAAGTAACGCCGTTATAGTTACTGTGATTTAGCATTTCAGGGTAAGCCAATCAGAGACAGAGTTGGGCGGGTCTTGCCTTATGGGGAAAATACACACACACGAACACTTGCTAATGCTAACACACACACACACACACGGCAACGCTCACCACCAGCACACATAATGGCAGATGCAAGTATCAGCGAGAGCAGCAGCGCATTTGCAACTTGGAAATATAACCACTATTTTCAATTTGTGGGGATAAAGGACGCAAAAAATATTACGGTAAAATGTAAACTGTGTGCAGGACAGAAAGCATTGTCCACATCGAAAAACACCAATCTCCTGAAGCACCTAAGTAATGTACATGGGGCTATACAACTAGTCGCCAAAGACCCCACCGTCTCAACCACCGGCAGTTGGAGCAATACCATCTAAACAGCCAAAAAACGATTTTTTTAAATCGCCACCTGTCACCCAGAGTCAACTAAACAGATTGATTGCCAGGTATGTTGTTGAGGACATGCTGCCCATCGCAACGGTCGAGTCTGTTGCATGCCTTCAGAGAACTAGTCAGCAAAAAACAACACAAAAACTTGTATTTTTATTGTTATTATTTTTAGTAACTTGTTACTAGTTACTTTTGTAATTTAGTAACTAATAAAGTAACTAGTTACTTTTTTGAGAGCAGTAACTATAACTATTACTAGTTACTTTTTAAAAGTAACTTGCCCAACACTGTTCATAATGCATCTCTGAAGATTAAACTAGTGGACTAACTGTTTCGAAGTAAAAAAGGTACACATATTAAACTTATGGCACAAAGTAAAGCAAGAAAGTCCTAATCATCATCTACATCAGTAAAATGCTTCTTGACAATGTGATTATGTCAAATATATAACCATAAATCACACAAGGAGGCCATTTTCTGCAGAATGATGAGATTAGAAACTGTAGGTACATTTAGCTGATGATACCTTTTTACTGACTTACAACTGTGACCAAAACGTAAAACTTCCAAGCAAAACCAGATGAATTGGAAAGCTCCAGGAACTCAATCCGACCTCGTATCTTTCTTCTGACCTGCGTTTCTGCTTCTTCTCCCCACAGATCAGAAAACCGTTTTCAACATGAACCAACTACAGTATTACAAACCTTTCTTCTCCGTCTTCGTCCCCTTGTTGGCGCTGCTTTGCTCCGTCCAATCCTCACCGCGGACAGACCCTCCGATCCGCCCCGATCACCCCTTCCTCTTCATGTGGAACGCTCCGACAGAACTCTGCGATCTTCGCTTCGGGATGCCGCTCGACCTCTCGCACTTCCACTCCGTCAGCAGCACCCTGAAGACGGCCACCAACCAAAACCTGTCCATCTTCTACACCGATCGATTCGGCCTTTTCCCCTACGTGGACGAAGACACGGGCGAGATGTACGACGAAGGTCTACCGCAGCTCATCGATCTGCAAGAGCATCACGAACTAGCCGAAGACGACATCGAGTACTACATCCCGTACGATCACCCGGGCCTCGCTGTGCTGGACTTTGAAGAATGGAGGCCTCAGTGGGTCAGAAACTGGGGCAGCAAGGACATCTACCGGCAGATCTCCATCGAGACGGTGCAGAAGAAGAACGCATCGTTGTCCGAAGATGAAGCGGAAGACCGGGCGAAGATCGTGTTCGAACGCGGAGCCAGGAAGTACTTTATCCGATCTATTCGCATCGGGAAGAGGCTGAGACCCCACAGACTCTGGGGTTATTATCTGTACCCCGACTGCTACAACTACGACTACAACAAGGACATGGAGGGCTTCACCGGAGAGTGTCCGAACATCGAGAAGGACCGGAACGACGAGCTGCTGTGGCTTTGGAAAGAGTCCACAGCGCTTTTTCCCTCCATTTACCTGGAGCTGGTGCTCAGAGACTCCCAGCAGGCACGAAGGTTCGTCCGGCATCGAATCCAGGAGGCCATGAGGGTCTCAATGCTACCCAACAGCTCCTACTCCATCCCCGTCTACGCCTACATACGACCCGTGTACAAAGACAGCATCGACGACTACATGTCAGAGGTCAGACACACCTGGGGTCGAACATTTAGACCTTTAGACACACAATGTCTCTGATATATTCTCATCATTTACGTTATAAAAAAGAGAGCAAGTAACTCCAGATGTACTTAAATACCCCTTAAACACTATGTACCATTACAAAGTCAGGTTGCGCTGAGTGCAATCAAGGAGATGCTACCAGTGAAGATGAACTTCAGCAGTAGTGAAAATGACGTACTATTAAATCATTTTATAGTAAAAAAAATGTATCTCCTGAGCGTCAGAATAGGTGTAACAGGAAATCAAAAAGCATCTAAGCGCAGCATGTATTTCCATTCAGGAGATAAATGTCATTCAAGGGGTTTTTATTGTCTTAATTGACATCTTCCTGCACGAGGCCTTGTTGAATGTTATACATATGTACGTATGAATGTTAAATGCTGGTCTCTGATTGGTGGGCAGTTGTCTTCTGTCCTTATTAATTGTTTGAAGTATATTAAACTGCATCCAACCAAAAGTACAAATTCCACAAACAAATGTTAAAATGTAGGAGTTTGTAGAAACTCTCTTCGAAAAGACTACGATCAACTGTTATCTAAAAAGAAAGCCAATATTCTATTAGAAGTAGTTTTTCTGAGGAAATAATGAGTATCCTAAATAAATAAAATGATTATCGCTCTTTAAGGGTTTGCACTTTTCCTGTTGGTAACTTTTGCTGTTTGTATGGAGGAATATTTCCTGCTCTTCTTTGATTTTTGGTTTTACTTGCAGCTCGATCTGGTGAACACGATAGGAGAAGCGGCTGCTCTCGGTGCCGCTGGCATCGTTTCCTGGGGAGACATGAACGTCACCGAATCAGAGGTGAGAAGTGGCATCTAGCTGTGGGTTTTTGGGAACTTATTCTTGTATTTGCATCGGTTTTACCAGCAGTTTAATAGCAGCTTAGCAGCTAAGCTATTCTTTGTACATATATCTGTAGGGAGTGATGAGGCTGAAGGCTGTCTCAATTCTCAACCTCTCCTGAGTAACCTGCCATGTCATTCACTTTGAACACTATGGTGTGGATTTCTTCTATAGTGTTGTCTAAAATAGCACATAGATGTTGTGCCCTAGCAGGAAGTGGAGACTGCTGCTGCTACAGTAGCTCACTAGCTCACTTACTAGCTAGCAATGTTATCGTTCACTGTAGCAAATCCTTACAAACTGCTCAGTTAACTATTCTTCTATGCTTCTTTTTGACACCAGTAAAGAACTCACAGCTGATCCCACAACTTTATTTAAATTGTGAATAAATGATGATGATGATAATTAACATTTAAAGCGTGCATTGTCTCACTGAACTGACTGAATATCCCACAATCCTCCAGGACTCGTGCTTGGACGCCCGCCTCCACCTGCAGAAGGTGATGAACCCGTACATCCTGAACGTCACCACGGCGACGCGTCTCTGCAGCGACTTGCTGTGTCAGAGTCGCGGTCGCTGCGTGAGGAAACGATGGGACGAAGACGTCTTCCTGCACCTCGACCCGCGGAGATATCGGATCCATCGAAAGCACCGTGGGGGGCCGCTGACGGTGAGCGGAGGCTTCTCATTGGACGACGTTAAAACATTCAATGCAAGCTTCGACTGCATGTGTTTCAGCGAGGCTCCGTGTCGCTTTGTGTCCACGTTTAACGCCATCCAACCGCAACGGTCCGCAGTGACCACGAGGAACAGAGGAGCAGATAAGCCCCGCCCCTTTCTGCTGGTTACGATACTGCTCTGTTTGAAGTGTGTCGTCACGTGGATTTAAGTTAAAAACACACAAACCTGAGATACAGGATGAGAGGCTGCAGGCAGTAAAGGACAATTTTAAGTTTTTTCAGCATGTTGTTTAAATCTTGTTAAGATAAGAGAGTGCTTTATTGATCCCAAATTGGGAAATGTTACTGTGCATTAAAGAAATGTATCATTGACCAACACATCTCTCAGACTCATTCGAACAATTTTTTGGTGAGAGATGCATGTGAGAAAAACTCTTACTGATTTCAGATTTACCATGATAATAATTATTATTAAGGGTTTATATTTGCACATCATTTGCATAAAAACTATTTGAAAATGTTTTAAAGGCTTGATTCCTCCTTGTGGTCCCGAGGTCAAGGTTGAAACACCGGGGAGACGGGGGCTGAAGTCGAATAGTCCATTTAGCTTAGGAACCTTCCTAACGGAGTGAAATGACCCGGAAGTCCCTCAGTGGCAGCCATGATAAGTGCCGTTCAAATTCTCTATGATAGGAAAGGAGGTTTCAAACTTCTTTTATAGCCTCCTTTAGCTTAGGAACCACTGGACCTCCCTTACCGAAAGGAGAGGAGAAAATGCTGCCCCACAATGCCTTGCAGCCGCAGCATGTGCCGTCACACAACAGTCGGCCGTTCACGGAAACAACCGATTATGACGGAGAAATGATATCATGAAAGTTACGGTGCTTATTAAGCATTTTAAAACGTATGTGGTAAGTTGCCAAAGTGCTTTGTTTTGAACGTTCATCAGTATTATAATCAAAAAGAGAAATATGAACGTTAGTTTTTACTGAAATGATCAAATAAAGTCAACATTTCACTGAGCTGTGTGGGGTTTGTTCAACTTTTAAAAGATGTTTGAATGGTGATATACACAGTGATAGATGTTAAGGACTAACGTTTATAATAAATACATTTGTATTGATTTTAAGATCTTTTCATAGTTCATACAATCATACGTATTGGGATCATTTGTATTAATGTGGACCGGAGGGAGAGGGTGACGAGCATAAGTTTCACTTTCATTTTTTATTTGAATTCCAATTTTGGTCATGAAGAATATGTTTCTCTGTTGTTCATAAAGCATAAAGCAACAGCATCAGAGCACGGTGCAGAGTCTCGAGATGAGTTTACAGTAGTCCCTCGTTCTTATTATACATCATGTAGTCCGCTGTAGAAAACTGTGGTTTCCCCACAGCAGCAGACACACATGCACATGTATGACGTCCGTTGGCGCATCATAAATACGTCGGATAGTGAAAGTGCAGTCGGATTCTCAAGGCACCGCAGTCTCTTCTCCTAAATCCTTTTGAATTCTCCTATCCACTATTCCTTAACCCCGTGACGTTTCACACAGAGGTCAAGGAATAGACGATAGGGATAGACGATAGGAGCTGATTTTTGGACTATTCGACCGCAACCCCAGACGCTGGAAAGGAGAGGTGAAACAGAGGGGCAACAGGTGAACACAATTAGACAATCAGGTACAGGCAGGAAAACAAAAAGACAGGAAGTAAAACCAGACCAGACTCAAAGAAAAAATATATTTCAAAAATAAAAGAGGAAACCTTAAATACAAAAACATAGGACCATGACAAAAAGTCCTGAAAGTAGCAATTAAGACCATAAAGTCATTAAGAAATGAGTTAATAAATCTAATGAGAACTAGGGTCATCAACACTATAAAATCTAGGTAATTCCTTTTATAGAAATATAATGTTTTAACCCTCCTATTGTCTTCGGTTTCCCCCCCTTACTTTGGTGTTGGCGGTCAAATTTGACCGGTCCTGTTTTGCCTGCTATTACATTAACACAAAAACCATTAATGATCACCAAATTTAATTTAACACCCTTTCAAACTCTAAATATTGTATCAGACTACTGGTATACATGAAAAACTGCAGTAACAAAGAATAGACACTGAACATGTATTGCGTGTGCCAGGTGTGATCCATGTGGGGGGATGGGCACATTAGTAGGACATGTGTGTCAAATTGTTCTGTGTGTGTGTGTGTGTGTGTGTGTGTGTGTGTGTGTGTGTGTGTGTGAGTGTGTGTGTGTGTGTGTGTGTGTTGTGTGTGTGTGAGAGAGAGTGTGTGTGTGTGTGTGTGTGTGTGTGTGTGTGTGTGTGTGTGTGTGTGTGTGTGTGTGTGTGTGTGTGTGTGTGTGTGTATGGTTACTAATTCCTTTTCTTTATGGCGGTCACCATGGGTGTTACGAAGTTGACTAAATCATCCAAAATTCAATGAAAGTGGTGATCAGCAATTTGATATGTTCAAATGTCTACTGTGAAGGATATCATGAAGCCTTAATGCAATCGAATCTAAAACAAAAAAGTTATGATTGATGAAAGTAGTAAATCGGTCAGATTTGACCCGAAGACAACAGGAGGGTTAATAAGTAATCAGATGTAACCTTTG